CGCCATGGGCTACCGCGCCGCCAGGCACCTGCTGCAGGTAGGCGCGGGGCGGCGCGGACAGGCAGCCCCTGCTCCAGGGGCCGTCGAGGCGCCCGCTGAGGGGCGGCCCTGAGTGGGGACAGGCGGGCGCCGGGGGGAAGTAGCCTGCGGGTGGGCAGCCCTTAGCAGCCCCACGGCGGGGAGAGGCACCCCCTCTCAGCACCCCGGGCTAGAAGCCCGTGGGGAATAGGCAGGACGGGGCTTGAGGGCTTGGTTTGTAACCGGCCCCTGGGTTTACGCTGCTGCTCGGCTCCTAGTGCGGGGGTAGAGGCGGGGTCTTCCCCCAAAGGATTGTGAAGGAAAAGTTGGAAAAGGAAATGAGTTCGGGTAGGACCGGACTTGGTGCTGTTCTAACACGCAGGACGCTGTACTTGGTGGGGTGGAGATCTGTGCTTGGGGCCTTGCGAGTGCCTGGTCATTTGCCGTCCTCCCCAGTGCAGGAACATAAGCGATGCTCCAAGTCTCCAAGCTTCCCTTTGTTTGTTTTTCCCACTCTTTCTTCCAAAAAGTCTGGTCACAGAAACCGAAGAACACTTTTTTTTCTGCTGAGAGAAGCTCGAAGTCTTTCATTTGCTGGCAAATGGTTTAATTTATTTCTTTCCTCCCCTACTGAAAATTCACGAGTGTGCTTCTCCAGCCATTGGCACAAACCTGCAGCTGTGCCAGTTTGGAGTAGCCCATTAACGAGTCTGTTAACAGTGCTGTTTCATGGCAGTGTGTTTTCAGGAATTCGAGGGAAAATATTTTCACGTGTTATGTAGATGCCAGAGCAAGTTGCAACATTTCTGTCAGAATCTTTTCTAGTTGGGGGACGCTTGCTTATTTATTTATTTTTTATTTTTGAGAAAAATTAACATCTTTTTGCAAAATAATTTTCTTTTTTCTTTATAAGAAATGGGTAGGGGAAGGACTAGATCTAGTAAATGATATCAATAACTTTATAGTTAAAAGGACTAGTTGTACAGAATGTAATTACATTTGTAAATTTGTGTGAGTGTGTGTATATATGCATGTGTTATGGCAGCACTTGTAACTTGCCACATAGAATTTGGTAAAGTATCTACATACCTCTGTTTTGGCAACAACGTGCATGATCTAGTACATCCAAACCTGGTAAAGCATCTATAAATCTGTTCTAGATTTCAGTGACAGATCACACAATTTGGTGCACTGAAGCCTCATGACATTAACCGTTGGCCACAAAATAAGTCTATTTTACCTTCAATACATTATTATTTGTATTACCTAGTTACAGGCACATATTGAGAAGAGGCTACTTTTGTAATCTATAGCATCCTAGATGAAGTTTTAACACTGGGAAAGCATCTTTCTATTTCTCTTTGTATTTTTTCACATTATTTATTAAATATCTAAATATTAAAATGTTCAGGTGTTAGAGATAACCGAAGACAAAACATAGGCTGGACATTTAAAGGCCAACATTTCCAACTTTTGAAAAATGTGATCTTGAAAACCCTTAAATACTTGAGTAATCTTATTCAGGTACATCACTTTCCTTGAGCTTAACCTTATGCATATTAATACAAATTATTGAACCTAATAGGTTTGACTGTATGAATAAATTATTTTAGAGTTTAGGTGTTTGTGGGGTTGGGCCCCAAGTGTACAGTGTAGTATAATCACATGCAGATGAGTGTTAAGCCTTTTCATAAAAATTGCAGTTAGCTGTGTTGTAATTCCTCTATTTAAATATTTCTTTGGGAATCAAGGAGACTACTTACCTGGGTAAGAGCTGCAGGTTTATGGCCCTCAACTGTGAAATCCTGAGGGAGGAACAATTATTTCTTTATGTCCATCTGTAAATAATTACACACACAAACTACGTTTAAAGAACATTGTGACATTCGAAGGTAGGAAATGCTGGAACTATGGTTGCTTGGGAAACCTTAACACAATCCCCAAGTACTATGTGTTATGAAATTAGTCTTATGATTCAGTACTCCCCCCCTGCACAAACCCCTAACTCATTCGGAATACAAATGGATGTGTCAAGTTAATGTGCAACTGTTTAATTTTGTTTTCTCTTCGCTTTACTGTTTGTGGCCCCATGCCTGCTTTCTTGACTCTGAAGGTAGAGTTAGTAATTTCCTCATGGACTCTGCTATGGTGCCTCCCACTCTCTGGTTCTTTAGCTTAATTTGTTACTCTGCCACTGTGTGACTTGGGCAAATCTGTGCTTCTTTCTGGAGTTCCCTGCCTCTTCCTCCTACAGATCCCTGATTTTATCCCCAGATCAGGATGTCATGGAAAAAGTAATATGTAATTAAAAACTTATGCTGTGATGTAAATGTATAAGGTTGCATAGTAGGCCATAATTCTGGCTTTCCCCAATTGTTGACTTGCAAGTTAATAATGTTATTTGATGCAAGGGCATCTGTGTTTTTGTGTAATTTTTGAAAAGCCAGTTGGGAAAAACATAAGTCCATGTGGTAGCACTTTGCTCTCCTAGGTTCTCAAGAGGGACTTTTTGGATCCATTAAAAAAGGCTTCTGGCACTTGTCGCCATGGGATAACTTAACAGCGGTAATCTAGGTTGTCATCTCCTCTGTATAGACCTGCACTAGACATTGGGGTGCACCGATAGAGATTTTTGGGGCCAATACTGATAGCCGTTTTTTTTTTTTAAAGAGGTATATCGGCCGATACCGATCTGATTTCTGGTACCCAACCTGAGAGTGTGGAGACCTGCCTCCAGCTGGTAAGTCTGGTGTGGTGGAAGGGAAGGGGGGAGAGGGAAGGGGTGTGAGGGAGCAGATCAAGGCCCCTGTGGTGAGGGAAGCATGGGCCTGGTGCTGGGGCAAGCACCGCCTATCTGGGGCAGGGTGGGCATGGGACAAAGCCACGGCTCGTCTGGGGATCACGGGGAGTGTGTGTGTGGCGGG